AAATAAATAAAATCTTTAAAAAATAAAAGGAAAACGTAGGAAATAATTGCTTTGAAATCAGCCTTAGTGACATTATTCTAGATAGGTCTCCTTAGGCAAGGAAAACAAAAGTAAAAACAAATTATTGGGACTACACTGAAATAGAGAGTTTTTGCACAGTGAAGGAAATCATCAACGAAACTAAAAGGCAACCTACTGAATGGAAGAAGTAATTTATAAATGAAATTTCTGATAAGGAGTTAATATCCAAAATATATAAAGAACTTTTACAACTCAACACCAAACTGCCGCCCCAACCAATAATCCAGTTAAAAATAGGCAGAGGACCTAAACAGATATTTTTCCAAAGAAGACATACAGATGGCCAACAGATGTATGAAAAGATGCTCAACATCACTAATTGGGGAAATACAAACCAAAACTGTAAGATATCACCTCACACTTGTCGGAATGGCTAGAATCAAAAAGATAAGAAATTACAAGTGTTGGTGAGGATACAGAGAAAAAGGAACTCTTCCTTGTATGCTGTTGGTGGGAATGTAAATTGTTGCAGCCACTGTGTAACACAGTATGGAGGTTCCTCAAAAAAGTAAAAATAGAAATACTGTATGATCGTAATTCCACTACAGGCATTTACCCAAAGAAAACAGCAACACTAATTCAGAAACTATGCACCCCTGTGTTTACTGCAGCATTATTTACAATAGCCAAGACATGGAAGCAACCCAAGTGTCGATCAGTGGGATGGATGGATAAAAAGGATGTGAGTATATATAGATATACACATATATATACTCATACTATATACTATAAATATATATATAATTATATATAACACACACACATATATATACACAAATAGACACAATGGAATGCTATTACTAACCCATAAAAAGAGAATGAGATCTTGTCATTCACAACATGGATGGACCCAGAGGATATTATGCTAAGTGAAATAAGTCAGACAGAGAAAGAGAAGTCAGAGAAAGACAGAGAAAGACAAATATCAAAATACCTTATCACTTACATGTGGAAATAAAAAAAAAACAAACCCCACAGAAATAGACTCAAATACAGAGAACAAACTGGTGATTGTTGGTGGGGAGGAATGGGTGAAGTAGGTAAAGGACACTATTAAGAGGTATGAATTTCAGGTATAAAATAAATAAGTCATGTAGATGAAAAGTACCACATAAAGAATATAGTCCATGATACTGTAATAATGTATGGTGACAGATGGTAACTACACTTATTATGGTGAGTGCTATGTAATGTATAAACAGAACACTGTATGTCAACTATATTTAAAAAAAAAAAGCATTCATTCACTTACTTGCTCATTTTTCCATTTCAACTAACACTTTTTTAGAGCCTACTGTTGACCTCTGCTAGGCTCTGGGACTAACAGATAATCTCTGCCTTAGCAGAGCTTAGAGTCTTTTGCAGGGAGACAGACTTATTAATTTGAAAGAAATGACAAGACAGGATGATTGAAGAGATATAGGAAGTGAAGGAAAAGGTAAATCAAGGATAATACTGATTTCTGCTCTGGAGGATTAAGTAGATGGTGAAGCCATTTTCAGAGACGAATATTAAAGGTGGAGTAGAGTCAGCTGGGGATAGATGAGGATTCTCATTTTATACATTCATTCATTCAAAAGATGTTTATTAACTGAAGAAGGGCAGATAATCTATGAGACATGTTCAGTAGGACCCTGAATACAGAAGTCAGGAAATGAAGAGACGATCTTAGCAAAGAATGCCATGATTACCTCTTCTACTATAATACACGTTCAAATGCTTATTTCAAAAGTGAGTATCTATCCTTTTTCAACAATTAGGATTTCCTTAGTATCTACTATGTGAACACAATGAATGAAACAGATTAAGTCTGTCCTCCATAAGTTTACATCCCAGCAGTTCATGCCCTAAATCTACAGCACTACACATGTCCTCAGCATGCCTGCTATGGCTGTCTTCTGCCCCAGGCTTTACCCTCACTGCTACCTCAGGCCACACCATGCTTCCAGGAGGTGAAGGATTACAACCAGACATGCTGCTCCAGAAAGGAAATGTTGCTGATCCTAAGGACAGAAGTAAGGACACCTTGATTCTGATCCTTTCCTTAGTCTTTATGTCCTTGGGATGTATACTGTGCTTAGTATCAGGCATAACATGATACAACACGAACCTTCCACAAGGCTTAAACACATGCACAGATATATCACTCACAGGTAAAAGTTGTCTAAAAGTTTTATTAGATAATATTAAAAACCTTCCCCATATTTTGATTCTTACATAAGCATTGAGATGAAGTTTCAGAAACTGTGTATTTCTGGAATTTTAAGAAAATCTTACAATTATGGAATTGACATTCTATAAAAGGAGTTCAAATGCGTAAATGAACATGTCTTCTGTGTCTTAAATCCTCTCCTAGACTCCTAGAGCCTGGAAATGTATTCAATTTTTATCTGATGGAAAAATACTGGGGTATTTGGGGGTCTTCTAATAATCATAAAAACACAGACTTGTAGAAGAACAAATGCCACAACACTAAGGTTAAAGGATAGAAATATAAAAAGGAGAATAATGTAAAACATGGGGCTACCAGGACCTTTCAGCTTGGAGGTGAAGTCTCATAGGGCCTACCTGTAAGGATACAAGGTGTTGGATTAGGAGTGACAGGGAGAAAGTCACGTTTTTAGGATTGGAAGATTACAGATTTGGGAAAGGGAGCCACAAGCTATGCTCTCTGCAATGGAGGGAGAGCTGATCCCTAGCTCCTGAGAAGTATGGCGGAAAATGTTTTACACAATCATTGCCATGTGGCAGGCTGGAATTAATAGGTTCTCAAGGAGTCTACACCTTAGCATCCCACCAGGAGTAAACGTTCTGAGCTAGGACCTGTGGCCTGAAAAATAATGAGATGGCACAACTCCAGCTTCAGGGTGGGGACAACTCCTCTGCCTTACAGAGAGGTAACCCTAGCACAAAGCAGAAAGTAGTCAGGGTCACGGTACTGCATTGCTGGCTTGGGCAATGCACAGATGGTATATACAGGTGGTAAGGTTGAGCTATGTGATTTGAGCTAAGGGAGTGTGAACAGCAGTAATAGTGAGAAAATATCTTCCTCTGGCTTTTTTTTTTTTTAAGATTTTATTTATTTATTTGACAGACAGAGATCACAAGTAGGCAGAGAGGTAGGCAGAGAGAGAGAGAGAGGAGGAGGAAGCAGGCTTCCTGAGGAGCAGAGAACCAGATGCAGGACTCGATCCCAGGACCCTGAGATCATGACCTGAGCCGAAGGCAGAGGCTTAATCCACTGAGCCACCCAGGCGCCCTTCCTCTGGCTTCTTACTCCAAGGCCCAGTTGTTCAGTCTCCCACGTGGGAGGCCCTGCCCACAGGTTTCCATCTATGGTTTTCATGACCCTTAGGTGTGGCATGTGTCTTCAAATTAACCAGAGCCAGGGTAGAGATACTTTTTGAGAGGCAAGGGTCCATAAAAGGCTGGTAGTTCCCCACCTAGACTTGAGTAGTACAGGGTAAGGGCAGAAAAGATCAGAAAAGTATTGTTGCGGGACGCCTGGGTGGCTCAGTTGGTTGGGCAGCTGCCTTCGGCTCAGGTCATGATCCCAGCGTCCTGGGATCGAGTCCCGCATCGGGCTCCTTGCTCATCGGGGAGCCTGCTTCTCCCTCTGCCTCTGCCTGCCATTCTGTCTGCCTGCACTCGCTCTCTCTCCCTCTCTCTCTGACAAATAAATGGAATCTTTAAAAAAAAAAAAAAAGAAAAAAAAAAAAGAAAGAAAAGTATTGTTGCGCAAATTGGTTTAGTCACTCCTACAAAAACTCTGACATTAGATAATGTATATGAAGTGCTTCACTCCAAGCTGGGTTCTTAGTAAGTGCTCAGCAAGTATGAAATTTTATTATACACTCACTGAAGTATACTCGTGTGTACCTATGTACACATTCCTCTACCACTCTGGCAAACAGTCTGCACAGTCACTCTGCTTTCTGGACCAAAAGGTGGTCAAGGCTCCTGGGTGCAGATAGGCAAGGTTTAGCCACATAAATGTCATTTCAGCAGCATTGTAGACAGACATTATAGAAAAAGCCAAGCCAGGGAGCTGCAACCTGAAGATGTTCACTTTTGCCTTATCTAGCCAAAGATGCACAAGGCTGGGGCCAAGGAGCTGAGAAAATGATACAGGGCACAGTACCACCAAGATGGCAAACAGAAGAGGCCATGGTAGAGCAGTTTTCTGGGGCGAAGACTCCACCGTGAGCCCACAGAGCCGCGGGAGAAACATTTTAGCACATAAGATTTTGCCACTACCTCCCAGCTCTTCCTCCATCCTTGTCAGAGGCCTAGTGGAGACTAAATCCCTCTTTGTTCTCAATCTCACATTCTGGCTTTTCCTCCCTGGCCTTCCCACATCCATATTTTCTTCCTTTTTGCCTACTTTCATCAACCTCCTGAAGCCACCTTTTCAGATCCTCACCCAGCCCTGTCACAGGAGGGCTGTCTCCCATGTGGGGCATCCTAAAGGGCCAGCCGGACTCCTGACACCTACCTGACATGTCTAATCCAATTCTGGCAGAGTCAACACAAAATACAAATGCCTAATCTGATCATATTTGCCCTCTTCTTTTTGTCTCAAGCAGATTTAAAAAGGCATAATTTTAGGTAAAATCAGATTACTAGACAGCTATGAAATCATCTTCATTAGAACCTGGTTATTTCACCTTGCAGAACTGCTCATAAACCTCTCCTCACAGTGATATGCACAACACTGAACAAAGACGCTTGAAAGCTGAGACTCTTGAAAGCATATGGTATGAAAATGGAAATGCTTAGTGAGAAATAATATGTAAATGACAAGTAAGTTGACAATTCTATAAAATGGAAGTAAGTGCTTAGAAATCAAAGAAAAGCAAAATTTTTAATGGATTCTCTAAATGGGTAATAGTCTTGAGTCCGGTTATATGAAAACCTACCTTTCACCATTAGGTCCCACTCTGTTGATTAGTTTTTCCATGGCTTCCTCTGTCTCCTTCAGTTTTTCTTGCAGGTGAACAAGCTCAAAATTGGCTGAAAAACAAGTATCGGTCTAAGAACCATCATACACACCTCCAAAAGCTCTTTTCTGAAACTGGCTGGCTGGGATGCCCTGTGATAATTCCAGCTGGTTCAGAGATTCAGAGAAGAGACTCCATATCTCTCCAGCTGATCCAATCAGGACACAAAGGGTACCAAGGTGTGAGCACTGAGATCTTAAGGATACATGCGTAGGGAATAATGAACAAATCACTCCTCTTACACACAGAAATACAGCAGGACCAGCTAAAGAAAATACATGAGAAAAACAAAACAAAACAAACCTCAACATGGTCACCCAAGAGGAAAAGAAGAAGATAGACCTATCCTTTCCAATCCAAATAATGCTTGAGGGTAAAAGTACCGAACCTGCAAGGTACTTTAGAAAAGGAGTTAAGACCCTGAGACGAGCATTCGTTCACCTGTGTTTGAAAACATCTGGAAGATCACAGTCTCAATGCTGCATTTCTTCAATAGGGGACAAATCTTGAACTAGGATTGAAGCTTCCTTGCCCAAGGTTTCCTATCCTTGTCATTTGGGGTGAAGTGGTGTAACCCTCGCCCCCAGATTCTCAAGAAAGATCAACAGATCAACAGAGATCACATTGATCTACTGACATTAACACTAAGACCCTAAAAGTAGAGCAGAAAAAAAATAGATCAATTAGTACATGAAATGAACTTTAAGGCAGCAGGAAAACAAAATGCTATTTATTACGCAGATAATCCAGTTTTTCTTCACTGTAAAATATTGTATTAAAATATTGTATTGTCTTTTAATACTTCTAGAACAAATTCTTATGCATGCAGTTAACATCTGCGAAGTGTCTAGAGGACTATGCCACATAAATGCTTAGGTTATTTTTATTTTCTGCATGATTCAAAACAGAAGGATAAGCAGATATAATGGCTACATTATAAAACAGTTGTTCTTAGGAATTTTTAATTCTGTTTCCAATGCATTTTGTGACTGGATACAGAATTTGCTATTCATTTTTTTTTTTTTTAAGATTTCATTTATTTATTTGACAGAGAGAGAAATCACAAGTAGGTAGAGAGGCAGGCAGAGAGAGAGGGGGAAGCAGGCTCCCTGATGAGTGGGGAACCTGATTCAGGGTTCTATCCCAGGACCCTGAGATCAGGACCTGAGCCGAAGGCAGAGGCTCAACCCACTGAGCCACCCAGGCATCCCCAGAATTTGCTATTCTTTGACAGAATCCAAAAATCTCTTAATAATTATTTTACCAATGCATTTACCATCACTGCTGGTTTGATGTTATCTCAATTAAGAACAAAAGAACTTTCTTAGAGGATTTCTTAAATATTTCGTAGGATTTCTAAAAAGGATGCAGACTGTGACTGGGGTATCTGCTTCCACAGAGAATCTGGAGTAAATCCAAAAAGCAGTTATGGCCGAGGGCAGATCCTTCAGCGGCTCAGCTTCACTTCATTTTGCTGCAGTCTCTCTTTTAAAAACTTCTGAAGAGGCTTCATTATCCACAGGATAAGGCGATTTGGCCTCCAAGGCCTTCAACAACATGGCTTAACCCCCCACTGAGCAGGCCTTCTTTCCCACAGCCGTCCTATGTCAGGCTGTGTCTTCCTCAAGCCATCCTGTCTATCGGACAGGACCCAGCTCCAGGTCGCTTCCCATAAGGCTTTCCCCAAGTCCCTTTTTAGATAGTAAACTTTACACAAGTCATTTTTCATCCCAGACTATATGAATTCTTAGGGGGAAGAGCCATGCCATATACATTTCATTTCCCCCAGAGAGCACAGAATATTCTACTTGGCCAGTAAATATTTGATGAACATGTTTTATGAGTCAGAAGTATTATTTTTTTTAATTATTAAAAAAAAATTTTTATAAACATATAATGTATTATTAGCCCCAGGGGTACAGGTCTGTGAATCTCCAGGTTTACACACTTCACAGCACTCACCATAGCACATACCCTCCCTAATGTCAACAACCCTCCACCCTCTCCCTCCCCCACTCCCCCCCCACAACCCTCAGTTTGTTTTTTGAGATTAAGAGTCTCTTATGGTTTGTCTCCCTCCCAATCCCATCTCATTTCATTTATTCTTTTCCTACTCCCCCAACCCCCCACGTTGCATCTCCACTTCCTCATATCAGGGAGATCCTATGATAGTAGTCTTTCTCCGATTCATAAGTCGTAAGTATTAAACCCAGTTCCTAGATCTAATAAGTGGTTTTGGCAAGGACTTGATCTCTCTCCCTTTAGTTTTCTTGTGAAATAAAGGTATCTGCTACAAATATTCTGAAGTATGGAAATGAGATATAACTCCAAATGTGAAATATTAATTTGCTAACATATAAAAAAGAAAACAGACCATTTTATACTTTTTGTAACTCTCTCTTAAAAGCCAACATCAGTTTGGAAACTTGAGAATTCCCGGAGCTTAGGTAAAAATGGCATCAGATTAATTTGGAGCAATTTCTGAGATGTGCTTTTTAAGACATATCCAGACTGTCCCTCTGACTGTATGATGGTGGTGCAACTCAATAAGACTTGTGCATATACTGAGAAGAAGCACTTACTAATTGTCCTGTGGGTGTTTCCAGCTGCGGCAGTAGAGCATTTCCGATCCTCTGCAGTAGATTTCCCCTTTGAAAGCTGGGAATTGAAGGAGGTATAGCACATCAACAGCAGCTCAGAACCTCAAAGTCATAGAACCCCTCATATTAAATGAAAAAAGAAAAAAAAGGTTGGGAGACAAAAATTAAGTCAGAAATCAAATCAAGTATCAATATCAGAGAAACATTTCAAAGAAAGAAAAAAAAGAGGCGAGAAAGAACCAATAGAAGGTTCCCAGGAAGGGCGCTTGGGTGGCTCAGTTAAGTGTCTGCCTTCAGCTCAGGTCATGATCTCAGGGTCCTGGGATGGAGCCCCACATCTGGCTTGCTGCTCAGCAGGGAGTCTCCTTCTCCCTCTCTCTCTGCCCTTCCCTCCACTCCTGCTCTCTTCTCCTTCAAATTAAAAAAAAAGAAGAAGAAAGAAAGAAAGAAAAGAAAGTTCCCAAGAAGCGAAAAACCATCAAGGCACAAGAACAAAAATCAATCAATCAATTAATCAGTCTCTTTCCAGGTCATCTGCCTTGCCTACACTCATCTAAAAAAGGGGATGTGCAACCCCTAAGGCCCTTCTTACAGAGGCAACTTGGGCCCCCTGCAGAGTTCCTGGGCAAGAAGGACTTGCTTCTTATCCTGTTAAAAGGGCAGTGAATATTTAAGATTTCCAAAATGGATGCACAATGTGACTTCTGCTCTACTTCATGGTGTCTAGGCCCATAGCTTGCTGAAGTCTGCCTGGAGATGGAACTTAATTGGGAGTCAGCTTTTAAAGGACCCAGTGCATATCTCCCCAAAGTTGGGAGACATCAGGCTTAGTTTCAGGATTGGCAGTTTTGTTTCAGAATTACTACAGTGGATATTAAAAACAGCACCTCACACTCCTGGACTGGGAAAGGAGGACAAAGTGGTGTTGGTAATGGTCATTATGTGGCCTCACAGTGGCTACTTGGAAATCACTGTGCCAAACCTAAAGTTAAAATATCTTTGTGCCTTTTCAGCTTGCAAAGACATCCAGTAAAAACAAAAAACAAAAAAAGCCCACCAAAATACTGGGGTGAGAGGGAGCTTCGACCTTTATTGCTATTTATTGACCCAGGCATAAGTCCTGATTCTGCATTTCTAGTTGTGAATTCTTGGGCAAACCCTTTAAGCTCTGACCAAAGATCTTCTCTTCTATAAAACAGAGAACAGTTATCCTAAGTATCTCATAAAGAGGAGGCAAGGTTTAAAGATGATTTGAATAAAGGTTATGAACTATAAAGAGTTTTAATGCCAACAATGATTTTTATTATGACACTAGATTTTTTTAATTGATATCATATGATCAAGATGATTCCACTCACCTTAAATAGAATATACAGTATGTATAAAAAAATCCCAAAACCATAGATTGGAATAATCTGTCCCATCAGGCCTCTTCCGCTTCCTCCTCCTCCAGTGCCTCCACCTGATCCTTTGGCCTTTGCAAATGCCTCTGCAAGGTGAGACCTCTGGAAACGAACACCAGGGGTCTGGCCATCTGTGGGTGGCTGGTGATGATGCATCATAGGGGGAAATCGACCCAACTTTCCTGAGAGAAATAATCAATATTTATTTCTTTTATTATATTTTTAATTTTTAATTTTTATTTTTTAAAGATTTTATTTATTTATTTGATAGACAAAGATCACAAGTAGACAGAGAGACCAGGCAGAGAGAGAGAGAGGGGGAAGGTGGCCCCCCACTGAGCAGGGAGCCCAATGCGGGGCTCAATCCCAGGACCCTGGGATCATGACCCAAGCCGAAGGTAGAGGCTTTAACCCACTGAGCCACCCAGGCGCCCCTCTACTATTTTAAATATAGCTCTTATGAAAACACCTCATGCACTGAGGCATAACTCAAACAAGTTAAGAAAAAACAGGAACTTGATTCTAAGGATACAGAGGTATCATACAGATAACAAATCTGATGTGGCAATCTCTAGCTGTTTGCCAAACCCATTTTCTCTTCCTTTTAGGTCCACAGATTGATAACATTTTTCAGCTTCCTATGCAGTTAAATGTAGCCACGCAACGGAGTGCCAGCCAGAGGAATGGGAGTGATATGTGCTGATGCAAGGCCTGGCCTATAAAACTTCCCATGTATTAAACTCCACATTCATTTGCCATCTGCAGGCTTCATGCTGATCTAGGAAGACCTCTGAAGTCATGTGATGAAATGGCAGGGCCTCCATTAATCTAGGTTACTGAATAACTGTGTGGCAAGAGCCCTCCAATGCTGCCACCCACCAACTTAGAACCATCTGGATCTGTTCATGTGAGTGATAAGTAAACTATTATTGTGTTAGGGCCATTATACACTTTGGAGTCTGTTATAGCAGTTAGCCACCCCTAACTACTACAGAAAAGGAAGTGCAATCTGGTCTCAAAAGAGAAAAGAACCAAAACTGGGAAGCCATCAGGATCCAGGACAGCTACTCTCACAATCTACTGCCATCTCCCTCTCCATGGGGCCATAGGCTTTTTCCTGTGCAGATCTTCTTTATTCTCCCTTCTGGCAGATAATTTCTCCAGCTTCTTTGTGAACATGGAGGAAAATGGGCACCTCAAAACCCTTCAGTTTATATGTCCTTCAAGACTCCAAGTTCCTTGGAGGAAGATTTTGATTACTCTGCCTGGGGAGGTATGCATTCCTTTCCAGTCAACTATTGCTGGGGAGAGAGGAGTCATGTAGCACAAACAGGGTCACAGGTTTCTGTAAATGGAAGCACAGGGCTTAGAGAAAGAAGTGTGCATCAATTTTCTTTCATTTTTCCTCCACTGGGGCAGTCGAACATTAACACCAACTACCAAGCCTCCTGAGAGCCATAGGTGAGAAAGGAAAGACCTCTCTTCAAAAGGCCATGTAAATAGGTTTGTGGGAGGAAAAAATCACTGGGAGCTAACACTATAGAGCAGAAAACAGGAGAGAGAAGACAGATTTCATAAATCAGACTCCAAAAATACAAACTATATAGAGAAACACTGTTAGATTTGACTTCCACAAAATTAGATTTCTGTTCAATCTACCACAACAACTACACTACCACATTCTACTACACACTCAACAACTACTGCAATCTACTACAACAAACAAACCTTGTTTGTTGTGCCACAAACAGGGAAGGAGCGAGATGGCAGAGCAGTAGGAGTCCTAAATTTCCTCTGGTCCCAGGAATTCAGCTAGGTAGTTATCAAACCATTCTGAACAACTACTAACTCACAGGGAGATTGAAGAAATAAGCAGCAATTCTATGAACAGAAAAGAGACCACTTTCTGGAAGGTAGGTGTGTGGATAAGTGAATCCGAGGTGACATACAGGAAGACTGGGGGGGCTCCATCACTTGGTTCCTGGCATGTAAAAGAGCAACTGAGCACAAAACCAGAGATTTTAGAAGTCTGCTCTGCTGAGGTACATTGCTCCAGTGGCTAAGCATGGGGTGGAATCCTTGCTGGCATAGTGTGGTCTCAGGACCCTCGGGGTCAGAGAAAGACTGGGGGTGTCTGAGTGTGACAGAGCTCCCAGGTATTGGAGTGGGGAAGCCAGGTGCAAAGACAAAGTCAAGGTGTGGGTTCTCAGCTTGGGGTTGCCCTAAACCATGATCTGAGTTACAGCTGGACCACTGCTTTTTGAGCAGGGACCCCACAAGTGGCAGATCCAGGGAGATCCCCCCTTTCCTCCATGGGGAGGAGCAGTGCGGGAGCATGCTGCAGAAATCTGCTGGGTTTGGAGACTCCAAACAGAGCTGTGTGCCAGAGACAGAAACACTCAGGCACAGGCCGAGTGAGTTTAGAATGTGGCTGGAGACCAGGGAGACAGGAGGGATTGACTGCCTTTCTCTGAGGGCTCCCTGAAGAGGGTGGCCCCGAGCTCTCGGCTCCTCTGGGACCGGAGATTGGGAAGCCACCATTTTTATTCTCGTCCTCCAAAGCTGTATGGAAAATTTTCAGGGAGCAAAAGCTACCGAGAGCAAATCCAAGCAGATTGCTTAGCCTGGCCCCTGGCAAGGGTGGTGCAATCCTACCTCAGGCAAAGACATTTGAGAATCACTGCAACAGGCCCCTCCCCCAGAAGATCAGCAAAAACATCCAGCCAAGATCAACTTTACCAATCAATGAGAACTGCAAAACTCCAGAGCTAGGGGAATATAAACATAGCATTCACAGCTATTTCCCCATGATTCTTTAGTCTTTCAAAGTTTAATTTTTTTCATTTTATTTTTTTCTTTTGTGTTTTTTAATTTTTCCTCTTTCCTATTTTAACCAACATCTTATCAATATCTTTTTAAAAAACTTTTTTCGGGACGCCTGGGTGGCTCAGTTGGTTAAGCAGCTGCCTTCAGCTCAGGTCGTGATCCCAGCGTCCTGGGATCGAGTCCCACATCGGGCTCCTTGCTTGTCGGGGAGCCTGCTTCTCCCTCTGCCTCTGCCTGCCATTCTGTCTGCCTGTGCTCGCTCTCTCTCCCTCTCTCTCTCTCTGACAGATAAATAAAAATCTAAAAAAAATAAAATAAAAAAAAATAAAAAACTTTTTTCATTTTTATAGTCATATTCTATCCCTTCTTTGTATTTAACCTTATTTTTTGTATACATGTAAGTTTTTCTGTCTTTAAAATTTTGGGATACAGTTTCTTCTAAGAGACCAAAATATATCCTAAATCCAGTGTACGGCTTTGTTCTAGTCTCCCTCCTGTTTTTAAAATTTTTTTCAACCAACTTATCTAATTAATTCCTTTTTAAAAATCTTTTTTAAATTTTCACCTTTATAGTCATATTCCATCCCTCTATTGTACTTACCCTTATTTTTGAATATGTTTTTCTTTCTTTAAAATTTTGGGAGGCAGTTTCTTCTAACAGACCAAAATACAACCAAAATCAAGTGTGTGGCTCTGTTCTGTTCACCAGCCTGATGATATATACATATTTTTTCCTTTTCTTTTATCCCCAGTTGCGGGTCTCTTCTGATTTGTTTAGTGTATATTTTTCTGGGGTTGTTGTAACCCTTTTAGCATTTTGTTCTCTCATTCGTCTATTCTTCTCTGGACAAAATGACAACGTGGAAAAACTCACCTCAAAAGAACAAGAGGCAGTACTGACTGCCAGGGACCTAATCAATATGGACATCAGAAAGATATCAGAACTAGAGTTCAGAATGACAGTTATAAAGACCCTCACTGGGCTTGGAAAAAAGCACAGAAGATACTAGAGAATCCCTTTCTGGAGAAATAAAACAACTAAAATCTAATCAAGTTGAAATAAAAAGAAGCTATTAATGAGGTGCAATAAAAAATGGAGGCTCCTACTGCTAGGATAAATGAGGCATAAGAGAGAATTAGTGATATAGAAGACCAAATGATGGAGAATAAAGAAGCTGAGAAAAAGAGAGATAAACCACTGGATCACGAGGGCAGAATTCATGAGGTAAGTATGAAACAATATTAGAATAATTGGGATCCCAGAAGAAGAAGAAAGGGGGGTGCAGAAGGTATACTGGAGCAAATTATAGTGGAGAACTTCCTTAATTTGGGGAAGGAAACAGGCATCAAAATCTAGGAGGCACAGAGAACTCCCCTCAAAAATCAACAAAAATAGGTCAAAACCCCATCATCTTATAGTAAAACTTACAAGCTTCAAAGACAAAGAGAAAAATCCTGAAAGCAGCTTGGGACGAGAGGTCTGTAACCTATAACAGTAGAAATATTAGATTGGCAGCAGACCCAGCAGGCCAGAAAGAACTGTTCTGACATATTCAGAGCACTAAATGAGAAAAATATGCAGCCAAGAAATACTATATTCAGCTAGGCTTTCATTGAAAATAGAAGGAGAAATAAAAAGCTACCAGGACAAACAAAAACTAAAAGAATTTTCAAACACCAAAACCAGCCCTATGGGAAATGTTGAAAGGGGTCCTCTAAGTAAAGAGAGAGCCTAAAAATAACAGATCAGAAAGGAACAGAGACAATATACAGTCACCTTACAGGCAATACAATGGCACTAAATTCATATGTTTCAATAGTTACCCTGAATGTAAATGGGCTAAATGCCTCAATAAAAAGACACAGGGTATCAGAATGGATAAAAAAATAAATAAATAAATAAAAACAAGACCCATCAATATGCTGTCTGCAAGAGACTCATTTTAGACCCAAAGACACCTCCAGATTTAAAGTGAGGGGTGGAAAACAATTTACCATGCTAATGGATATCAGAAGAAAGCTGGGTGGCAATCCTTATATCAGATAAATTAGATTTATCTAATTTAAATATCTAATTTATCTAATTTATCTAAATTAGCCAAAGACTATAATAAGAGATGAGGAAGGACACTATATTATACTTAAACGGTCTGTCCAACAAGAAGATCTAACAATTTTAAATATCTATGCTCCTAACATGAGAGCAGCCAATTATATAAACCAATTAATAAAATCAAAGAAACACACCAACAATAATACAATAATAGTAGGGGACTTTAACATCCCTCTCACTGAAATGGACAGATCATCTAAGCAAAAGATCAATAAGGAAATAAAGGCCTTAAATGACACACTG